TATGGCCCAACTCTCACATCCATACATGACCGCTGGAAAAATCACAACTTTGGCTGTATGGACCTTTGTCGGCAAAGTGATGCTTCTTCTTTTTAATACACTGTCTAGGTTTGTTACAGCTTTTCTTCCAAGGAGCAAGCATCTTTTACTTTCATGGCTGTAGTCACTGTCTAAAGTGATTTGGGAGCCCAAGAAAATAAAGTCTGTCGCTGTTTCCACTGTTTCCCCATCTATTTGCCATGAAGTGATGGGACTGGATGCCATGTTCTTCGTTTTTGAAGGCTGAGCTTTAAGTCAGCTTTTTTACTCTTCTCTTTTGCTTTATATTATGTGAATAGAATCACACAGTATCTCCACACACATGGAATCAAGACTACAGTGCATGACATTCATATTAATGAAGTAATGTCTAAAATTAATAAAAGTTAACATGTTAAATGATTAATTGCAGTGAGTGCTAAATGAAAGTATACTAGAAAATGTCAGGAAAGATGATTGAATTGAAATTTAAAGACTGTCACTCCAGAGGTAGAGAATGACTGAGCTGAGAGTTCAGGATTAACCCTATGGGCTTGGTTATTTATTTTTTTATTGATGAATAGTTGGTTTACAATATTATGTTAGTTTCAGATGAGCAGCATAATGATTCAGTACTTTGCAGATTATACTCAAAAAAGTTATTAAGAGATAATGGCTATACTTCTCTATGCTAAATAATATATCCTTGTTGCTTATCTGTTTCATACAAAGTACTTTGTATCTCTTAATCCACACCCCTAACATGCACCTCTGCTTTGCCCCCTCTCCACTTGTAACCACTAACTTGTTTTCTCTATCTGTGAGTCTGTTTCTATTTTTCTATATACATTCATTTGTATTATCTTTTTAGATTCTACATATAGATTTAGGCAGAATACCTAAATTTTTGAAGACACAAGTCCTAGCATTATTCATTTGTATTAAGTGTTTTAGAAAATGACACATTCTGCTAATCAAAAACTCTTTCTTTCATAGCTGTTTCTTCACAATATACTTCCTTCAGTTACATTCTTCAGACCTAGGATTGGGTTAGCCAGCTAACAGAGAAATTGTTCTAGTTACTATTTCATTCCCACCTTCAGTTATCCAGGCACAAGTAATTTCAGATGATACTTGGACCCACTGTGTATGATTTTGCATTTTTTTTAACCCAGCTTGGACTCTAAACACATAACTGCAATGGTTATGGTACAACTATGGTATCAGTAACCTGAAACCTAGAGGTCAGTGATTCTACCTGTTGTGGGCAAATTGATAATGGGTTATTTTAATTATTGGGAAGAGTGCCAAACTGTGTACTAAACATGTAACCTGGCAATATCCATTGTCTCAAGGCCAGGATTAAAGTCAGTGTGAAAAATCTGTTACAAAAGGGTATGGTATCAACCTGATATTCCCAATAGCCAATGTTTAAAGTGTTTTCATATTTGCTCCCCTTGGTCTAAGACTGGGAGTCTGAAGTATCATATAACCTGGATACTTCATCTTTTGATTTTCTCCTCTTTTGTTTTTTTAAATGATTTATTTATTTTTGTCTGTGATGGATCTTCATTGCTTTGTGGGCTTTCTTGAGTTGCCACAAGCAGGGGCTACTCTTCATTGTGGTGCACGGCCTTCTCATTGGTGGCTTTTCATGTTTTAGAGCACAGTCTCTAGGAATGCGGGTTGCACTAGTTGCAGCACATGGATTCAGTAGTTGTGGCTTCTGGGCTCAGCTGCTCTGTGGCACTTAGGGTCTTCCCACCCCAGGGATTGAGCCCATGTCCCCTGCATTGGCAAGTGGATTCCAAACCACTGGACCAGCTGAGAAGTCACACTTCTCTTACTGTTTAAGCAGAATGAGTGTCTCTATCCAGTCATGGTGATGTCAGTGTTGCTTGATCTTTGGCCAGGACCTCCAGTATATATATTATAGCAGAAGCAGTGTACAATAATGGCCTAACATCTATGCACTGAGAAATGATACCAGGTTCAAATCATACCTCTCCTTATTCAAGTTTGGACGCAAGTTACCTAACCTCCCCAAGTTCTAGTTTTCTCATTGGTAAAATGGATGTATTAATAATGCCTTACTCTTGAAGTTGTTGAAAGGATCAAATAAAATAATCCATAAGAAGCACTTAGCACAATGACTACTGAGCTCTCAATATATATTATTTTTTTAAATATATATTGTTTTTATAGAATATCCTTTGTAAACTGTAGACTTATTTTAAAGGACTTAAACTTGTTGTATTAACCAAGAACCTGCTTAATTAGGACCTAAAAGGTTTTTTTAAGATTAAAATCTTTGCTCTGGTCAAAGACCACATTTTAGTGCTACTTTTTATTCACCCATGAAAGCAATTTCTGTGCTCTGCTATAATAAACTGACCGTATTGTCTGCCTACTCTGCCTGCCTTGGATATGCCAACTATTCCAAGCCTCCCTTACCTATGAATACTTCCTCACACTGTTCTCCTGCATTTCTCTCCCACAACATATTTGAGGCAACTATCACAATACTCATGGACATTTTTCCTCTCTTTCTTCTCTTTCAATAAGAATTCTTAATTGTGCAGACTCAGGATTGAGAGTGAGCGAGATGCCTAAACACACACACACACACGCACACACACATATTCATTCATTCATGCTCATATAATTTAATACGGCATAGGGCTCAATTTATGGACTCTTTTTCAAAGTGTTAAGGACCGAAGCACTTCTTAAAAATGTAAGATCAACCAAAATTTTTAAAGATTCAAATAGTACTCTCATTGATTTTTATAAACATTTTTGGAGACTGAAGGAGACATTATGTGAGGTTTTCTTTTGTCCCAGTGGATGATTTAAGAGCCATTCATTGCCCAGTCCTGACACTGCTTTTCCCTATTGGGTCTCTGTGAGAGTCACATGCTTCAGACATCTTTGAAAAGAATCTTCTGAGGCTTCAGCATCTCATTTGAGTCTCCTGAATCTCACCTATCACTGGGTTGAATTCTCATCCATCACAATGAGCAACAAATTCTTAGGCACCTGGAAACTTGTCTCCAGTGAGAACTTTGATGAGTACATGAAAGCTCTGGGTAAGAAATGTTCTTTGTTGTTCTAACTGAGAAGATCCTTTTTGAGAAAGATGCATTGACTATTTCCTTCTAACTCCTTTCCCAGGAGTCTGGGAGCTTGCACAACTTACAATCCTCTTCTGGGATTAATCATCCATTGTGTCAATCAGATAATTTTCACTATGTTTGTGGCAATTTTAATAGACTTAACTCAAATAAGAGCTGCTTAAATGCATTAGAATGCCTACTGATTTCAAAGGCAGCTTCATATCAATAGGATTTTGGTTCAAACCCAGAGGAAAGAAATCTTAGAAACTTAGTCAACCCGTTCTTTGGCTTTCTGAAAGTTAGTTTTATGACAATTAAAGTGCTCATGAAGTAAAGAGTTAAATATACTAAAGTTAATGGAAAACCTCAATTTAAAAGTGCTGTTTAGATAAGCCATAAATTTTCTTTCTCTACTTCTAGATTGTCTGTTATTACATAAGTATGTAGATAAACTGTGAAAAGTGAATGCTTCATAAAGCAGGATATTCAGTCTAGGAAAGTTATTGAGAAAAAAAGAAGTGTGTTATGACAGTGAATTCAAGCTCGGTTACACTAATATCATACAGTGGATAGAGACAGAAAGTCTAGTCATGACCATCATCAGCTTTATTTGCAACTATTTCTAGGATATGTTCCATAGATATGAGCACAAGAGGTATGAATAGTCTTTGGAAACTTCCAGAGCTGTATAAATAAGGAGAGAGAGAAGCCAATGACCACAGGTTTCTATGTTCATCAAAGTACCAGTAATTTTACCTATTCAGAAAGCTTATAAGAAAGCTTCTATTTTTAGATAAAAGAAGCAAAATCATGTTGTGTTGCCTGGAAAACTATGGGAACTTATGGGAATAGATCCATACTCTAAGTTTGGTTGGATCTATGGATTTCACTGTACAGCTGAGGTAGAAGCAAAATATAAGAACATCTCAATAAAAGACTCCCTAACTGAATCATTGTCAAATTTTAGAGTGCAAAAAGACACCTTGAGGCTTGGTAAAATGTAGATTCTTAGGCTCTATTGCAGAAGTTTAGTTTGAAAAACATAGTCCAAAATCACATCAAATAAAACAATTAATCAAAATTAGAAAAAAAGAATACAGTTCATAATCCTTTATTGACTCTAATTCTTCACACTTCTTTATGCATATATAGCTATAAATACATGTATATTTATATATAACTATTTTTTTCTTTTTGTATTTCTCTCATTTCACATTTCTATTTTTCTATGTATTTCTGTAATCTTGAGTAATACAGTAATGATACTTGAGTCTAATTTTGTTTTGCTATCAAATGGAAAAATATATTTTTTAAATTTTTTTATTTATCTTTAACATTTGCAGTGGTACAAATACATTTAGGGGCTACAAAAACTTTCAGAAATGAGCTTCCATCAAGGATGTGGGAGGAATTCTTATCTTTATATATAATATATTACTGAGGGAAAAAAATCATAGAAGAGCATATATAGGTCACAGTGTCATTAAAAAAATATATCTACAATATTTATTTGTAGAAACTAAAATGTCTGGAATGATCCATATAAAGCTATAATTAGTGTTTCTTAATGGAGCATGGAATTGGATGAGGTAAAAGTAGATTACTTGCACTATTTAGGCTAAATACTTTTGTGTTTAAAATCTTCAGACATTACTTTTGTAACAGCAAAATTTTAAATATCCAAGTTGGTGGACATGTGTTTCCATCAGGTGATGAAACATGGGAGGAGGTCCTTAGTAGTAAGTGATATTACCTGCCACCTCACACACGAAGCACAGCTGAGTATAGAATTATAATCACCCATATAATCCCTTTAGGTAGATGCTCTCTTGGTTAACAAAATGCTAACATTATCTTGATTTTCAGGTGTGGGATTAGCCACCAGAAAACTGGGAAATTTGGCCAAACCCAGAGTGATCATCAGCAAGAAAGGGGATATTATAACTATAAGAACTGAAAGTCCCTTTAAAAATACAGAGATCTCCTTCAAGCTAGGCCAGGAATTTGAAGAAACCACAGCTGACAATAGAAAAACAAAGGTAAACTTTATTGTTTCTCTTCAAAGTTAGTTCCATCTACTGCTTTAAGACAGATTACTCCCACTAGTGTTCAAAAGGGTAGCCCACTGTATTCTGTTGAAAAATAAATGTGCCTCATGAAACATCTGTTATGAAAGTAATTCAATACTGAATGAACTGCTTCTTTAATCAAAGTCCTAGAAATTCAATTATGTGAATGTGTCTTTGCAGAGCACTGTAACCTTGACAAGAGGCTCACTGAATCAAGTACAGAAATGGGATGGCAAAGAGACAACAATAAAGAGAAAGTTGGTGGATGGGAAAATGGTGGTGGTGAGTAATTTTAAACTATGGAAATAATGCTATTTAAATAGAGGAAATGGTTATGTTATTTTCAAAATTGTCTTTCTTTGGACTACAAATAGAAAAAATGTTTAAGAATAAAGGCAGAGTTAATGTTTGATATTCAAACTATAGAGTCATCTACAGGTACTTCAGGTTCAGATTCAAGAATTTACAAAGTAACAAAACCTATCTGCTATTTTAGAAGCATCTAAAAATGATTTTTTTTTTTTTTAGTGTATGGATATGTTAGGTTAGACTCACAAAGAGAAAAGCAAAAGCAAGTCTAAGTCTTACAAGCAAAGCACATTGCAAAACGATCAGTTGCAGTATATTTGTAGATATCTTAGCATATTGTTTTCAAGAATCCATAGTAACTTAGACTAAAACATGTCATCAACATAAGCTGAGCTCATTGGAGACCTTTTGTAGTTCGCAGATAAAAATGATGACAAAGGTTATATGACATAATCTCTAACAATTTTTTTTGTCTGAGGTGCTATTCTCACTAATCAACACATACATTGACTATAGATTCATGTGGTACTTTGAATGTTTTTTCCTTTAGTACAGAGGTTCTGATCCCTAGCTCCACAGCAGATCTACATGGAGAGTAAATACCAATATGGGAGCCCCAATACAGATCAATTGAAAGCAAATTTCTTAAGGGAGGAGGAGCCATTGGTATTTTTAAATATTCCCCAGATGATGCAAGTGTGCAGATTGTCCTGAAAACCACTGTTTTAATAGCTTTCAATCTGTGCAAATAATGCATAAAAACTTGCCACTTAAAAAATATAACTCTGTTGTAACTTAGATCAATGTTAAAACTGTTTCCCCTATTTCAACAGCCATGATTCTGAATTCCCAGATATCAACTGACATATTGATATTTGATTTCTGAGTTTAATCTTATGAGATTTCTTATAATGTCTGTTATTAATACAAATTTGCTGTACCTTAGTTTGAGGTTTAGATATTCAATTAATCTCTTTCTTTTTTATTAAGGAATGTAAGATGAAGGATGTGGTCTGCACCAGAATTTATGAGAAGGTTTGAGAAAAGTTTCCTTACTGAAGTGATTTGATCATCTGATATTGGAAATCAGCTGTTTCCATTGGCAAGGCCTGCCTACACTGCAGTTTGTTTTTGCTCTTAATAGATCAGATAAGCAAAGTCTTACACTGAGGACTAATCTAAATTTCAGTATTATTTAAACATTTTCAGTTTGTATGCATGTCTTTACTGTATTAAAGTATGTATATTGGCCAGACCTAAAGAATGGATAATGTCATTTGATTATCTGTGACTTTCTAACTTATGTTATATTTCAAATATTTGCAATGATAGTAAAAGTAAGTAAATAAATTGATCAGGGTAGCAAGTTCAAATGCATTCAAAGACCAGGAGAGTGATGGGGGTTAGAGGCTCAGAAGTGAGGCAAACTAGAAGAAGGATCTGTTTTAAATGAGGAGTTCTAGCTTCAGCTAAAAATAGCAGCTACTACTCCAACCAATTTTAAATTGAGCATTAATTTACAGACAAGATCAGGCATGTTCAGGGTGGTGTGGTCGTAGACAAGGTGGCTAATTTACAGACAGTGGAATGAACAGATATTAAAGATAGAGTTCAAACCATTGTGACGAATGTGTGCACTCATATAATTCACATCCTGATTGAGATATAGCACATTTCCCTAATCCCAGAATGCTTTCTCATACTTCTTCCCAGTCAATGTCCTGTCCTGTCCCAGCGCCAACAGAAGCAAGTAGTGATTTAGTTTCTATCACCATAGATTAGTTTTGCCTGTAATCAAACTTCATATAAATGGAATCATGCATTATATGTTCTTTTCTATTTGCTTTTTTAGAGTCAGCATAATGATTTAAAAATTCATTCATATTGTTGCATGCAGCAATAATTTGTTCCCTCATATCATGGAGTAATATTCCATTGTATAAATATATCACAGCTTAGTTATCCGTTCGTCTCTTAAGACAATAAGCTATTTCCAGGTTTTGGCTTCTATGAATAAAACTGCTATAAACATTCTTGTATAAGGCTGTTTGTGGAAATATGAGTTCCTTTTCTTTTGAATATTAACTAGGCATGAAATTACTGAGTCCAACTTATTTTTGGCAGGTAAGAATAGGGTAACATTCTGCCCAAGTAATAAAACTATTTCAGATATATCACATGATTGAGCAAATGAGAAGATGTGTTGATGTTGTTAGCAGCTAGAATTTTCCTTCTGGAAGAAGGAACAAGCAAATATGACAGAAGAGAGACAAGCAAGAATCAGGTACAAATGGATTGGAATAAATGTAAATTCATATGTATGAATATGTATGCACATGCATATTTTTCTTAGATTTTTCTACCTAAAGAACTCAGAAGCAAAGACAACTCTGTGGGAATAAGTATACCCAGCGCTCAGATCTTGGTGTCTAATATATTCTCCACTAGAAGGAATGATGGTTCCTTAGAGAAATGGCTAATTAATATGTGAGAGCAGAGTAGGTACAACATAAGTGTAAAATATCTCTTTATGCCAGAAATTAAGGAAGTTTTCCAAAAAACAATAGAGATATGTCACCAAAATATCAGCGTCAGCTTGAGGGTACTCTCAACTGACCAAAATGGGGACAAGTTGAAAAATTATAAATTAATAAACATAGGGAGAAAGAGAAGAATCCATGAATACACTGAAAAAGAAAGAAAAAGAGGGTGAGAGAGAGGAGAAGAAAGTGTCATCCTTACAGTAGAATGTCGTAGACTGACTGGTAAATGTGGAAAAAATGCTGGGATTGGAAAAACACATTTTTCCAACCATTTCAGTCAAAGCTGGCTCAGATAACAATTGTCAATGGATGTAAAATCTAGAGGACTTGCCTGGTGGCAAAATCTAGAGCAAAGATTTGATTAGGAGTAGGATATTCGTTTGGTCTTAAAATATCTCCACACAGATTGCTTATTAGTTACGAGGGGAAAAAACAATAACCATGCAGTAGAAGACCTGGACCATGTCTTTTTTCATCCAAATAACCCTCATCAATAAGGGTAAATGAAAATCATATGCCTTCAAATGTGATATCCTGAGACGGAAGCAACGTGGCTTATGCAGTATTCTGGCCTGAAATCCTTATCTGGATCTAACCATGACGAAACAGCAGACAAATTCCAAATGAAGAATGTTCTGTTATAAAAGAGGAGGAGGTGTTGATGGAATTCTTCAAAAATGTCAGTGTCCCATGAGACAAAGAAAAGCTCTGTTGAAATGTTTCAGATTACATTAAACTAAAAATACCTGACAACTAAATGCAGTAATTTATCCCAGACTGGATCCTGTACTAGAGGCAAAATAAATATTCCAAATGGCAGTATTAGGTTAGTTGGTAAATTGGAATATAAGGGGTAAATTAGATACTAATAGAAGTTTACTGTGATTATGCAAGAGAATCTCCCTGTATGCAGTGAACTATTTTGTAATAGTGAACCATAATGTATATGATTTACTCTCAAAAATTTTAGAAAAAATATTTTGGGTGTGATTATGTGTGTGATATATATTACCTAGAGATACAGAGAGAAAGACATAGGTAAAGCAAATGGAGTAAAACTGAACAATAGATGAATCTCAGTAAGAGCTTTATGTGTTCTCTTTGAAGTAATCTGATTCTTGAAATTTTATACAACTTTGAAGTTATTTCCAAATAACTTTCCAAATAATTTTTAAAGCTATACTTGATTCTTCTTTGCCTCTGGGCATTCAGTCAACACATGTCTGGGAGACATCATAACGGAAGGTTTTTTTTCTTTTTAAATTTTTATACCCTGGCTCCAGCCAGATAAACCCATAAAAAAGAGACTTTAAAAACTATGGTGTTATTTTTAGAGGTCTGTAGTAATATGACTCACCATAAAATGTATTCCTCAATAAATATAATTGTATTATTATACAAAAATCACGGGAACTTTTGCTCTCATGACAGGAAAAGTGGAATTACGCTGATAATGAGGAAGATGAAGTAATTATTTCAGCAGGTACTACATATTGTTAGATTTGAAAAAGGTCTTCAAACAACCAGAAGGGAGGAGGGGGGAAAATTAGATTCAAAAATAGTTTCAGAAAATTATTTTGATTCTTAATTTTTTTATGTAAGCTGATTAAGAGCAGTCAAACTGCCTAGTTCAAATTCCAATTTGCTACTTTCTAGCTGTGTGTCATTGGGCAAGTTACTTCACCTCTCAGATCTGCAGTATCTTTACCTGTGAAAACGGGGTTAATAATAGAATATACCTCAAGGAGTTGTAAATAAGAAATAAGTTAATACATAAAGTGCTTACAACAGTGCATGGCACAAGCATTAAAGAAGGGTCTTTTTTATTATTATTTACCTAGTAATGCACATGAGGTTCACATAGATGAGATTTTCACAGGATCTCAGAGTTGTTGACATTGATTACTATACCAAGTGACTAACTTTATTAAGAATATTATTTACACAAAAGTAAAAACAATCAAAAATCCTACTGAGGTAAATTCAAAGAAAACCCAACAAACATTGTTATATAACTGCTAACCTAAGCAACCTTTTTAAAATGTCAGTTGATGATTATCTACTCTGAGCTAAACAAAACCTAAATAAATACATTTAATCCTCAAAGGGTAAATAACTTATCTGGTATCAATTTTCCTGGAAGTCATTCTTTTAGCAGCAGTGGTGTACTGGAGCTGGCTCAAATTGTTTCACAAGAGCTGATAGATTTTCAAGAATTTGGCAAGCTGGTTGTTAAACCACTAGTAGCTTGAAATCAGCCATGATGGGTATATTTATTTACATCATGGAAAGAGGCAAAACACAATCAATGAGAGCTTTGTTTCTTGAGACAGCTTTAAACACTTACTAGCATATCACTACCTAGAAGTAACATAGTACGTGTATTTTACTATTGAGAGTCTTAGCTTCATGTTGACCACAATATTTCTAATTCTTGACTAGAGATATTCCTGGTGATTTCTTAAAAAGACATTGCTGCTCAGTTTTTAGGATGATTTCTTCTAAACCAGGTTGTGCCTCACTATGTATGAGTATGTATAAGTATGGCTGCACATTAGAATCATCTAGAAGTTTTTAAACATCTAGAAGTTTTAAAACAAGACAGCATCACAGACCCATTAAGTCATAAGATCTGGGTTATGGGTGAGACCCAGGCATCAGTATTTTTCTGAAAACAGCCCAGGAAATTCCAGTGTGTGGCCAACTTCAGAACCACTGTGTCAAAAGTCTTCCAAAGTTAGACATTTAATGTAGTTTCTCACGTGTTTGTCAATTAAAATGGAGTAAAATGTCACAAAAAAATCAGGAGTACCAAATGTACCCAATGTAGCACTAAATAGCAGCATGTAGTGAAAATACTACCATAAAATCAACTCAGATGTAATCAGGTCCTTCATAAGCAGGAAGCCAGTGTTTACCTCTTTGTTATTTTCACTGGCTGAGACATAATTGGCTGTTATCCATGACATATGGAAAAGTGAAGGTTTAAAAATAGCTAAATGTAGATCAACAGGGAAAACAAATTAAAATAATGCTAAACCTTCACAGAATATAAATCACCTTTCAGCAGAATTTAGAAAGTAAGTTCAAATTACTCAAAAAAAAAAAGTATAGGACTACATTTTGAAATAGCATTTCTCACATTTTACTATTAAAAAATATATATATTAGTGGAATGCAGTGTGCTCAGATCCCAGTTACTCGATTGAAATTCTGGCACTATTATTGAAGTATAAAATCCTGCCCATAGTAACTGACCTGTGCAACAATTCTAATAGGTCTAGTAGTGCAAGGTGAATATCTCAACACCACCAAAGAATGGATGTTTGCAGTTAAAGGGTTTTGAAAACTGAATCTGTGACAAGTCTAAAGTTTCATATCCATGAAGAAGATCAAATAATACCACTTTATTGCTAAAATTCAAGATGAACATGAATTTTTTCACAATCTAGCATTAGAGTACCATTATTTTTCTATAATTACATTTTTCTCAGATTA